AACTGTAGTTACTGTAGAGGAAGCAGTGATTGCATCTAGTTCAAAGGGTTGTCCAAATGGATTCCATTCTGGGTGATTAGCCAGCAGTTGTCTGTCTGCTTGGGGTGGAGGGGTGGGATTCCTATTTAAACAAAGGCTTCAGAACTGCTGTACTGAAACTAGCTTCTAATCTAGAGTCCTCTACCAAGGAGTAGTGTGTCTTGTAAAAGATTTGCACCCCCCATAGCTGCCCTATAGATTTCAGAAATAGGGACGCTTTTCAAACAGGCAAGTAGAGGTAACGTTGCTCCAGTGGATCTAATGTGGAAAGCTCATACTACTACTTATACAGATGGAAACCCTTTCTGAAGATCTTCATGAGGCTACTGGACACTCCTAACAAAAACTGTGAACAGTTTAGGTGTGTTCCCATAAGTGTTTTGTCTTGCTAAGGCAAAAGGATAATGTCCTTCCTGCATCAAGTGGGTGAAGATTGGTTTCCCTCAGGGAAGGTGAATAAGGCTTGGAGTAGAAAACTGAGAGGTGAATGAATTGCTTTATATGAAACAGTGTAAGGTGGACCCCCACTTTAGGACATGGATCTCCACTACCCTGTAATGACCACTAAAAATGCATTCTCCATCAACATGATGGTAGAGAGAGCAGGTTGCAAAGGGACCAAAAGGTGGAGCCATCAATGTTGCTAATATAATATTGGGCTCCCAAGTGGGAGAGGGCTCCTGAACTGTGAGGGAAACCTCTTCCTCATCATAGGGTGAGGAAATTTAGTGGTGTCCTGGAGAGGAGGGTGACATGTAGGCACCACTGCTCAATGGTCCCAAATGAAGATGACAGAAAATCAAGATGGTTTTAGAGCTAGTGAATAATCCAAAATTGCTGAATTTTTTTTTTTTTGTGGGAGAGCTGGTGGCAAGATGTCCAAATTGAAAATCTCCCCAACTTGGCTTTGCAAGTCCGTCTAGTGAGGGCTTTCCTGTCTTGGAGCAGAATGCTCTGAGCCTCTTAACAGTTGTTTTCTTTGGTTATCAGCCAGGCTGTCAGGTGTAATGAGGGGCTATGACTAAGAGACTTACTGTTGTTTAGCAAGGAAAGGTTATGGGGCTTATATCAAGAGGTTCAGTATATCCAGATACCAGTGCTTGCTAGCCCATGCTAAGGCAATTATAATGTATAACCACCATTCTTGTGTCAATGGAGCAACTGCCAGAAAGTTGTTATCCTTGACAAGGAATAGCTATTGGGGCAGGAGCGGGGTACAGACTTTGCTGGTGGCGTTTGGCAGACCACTAAGACAGCCGTGTAACATTCCCTAGCTGGATCCCTAGGTTCTTTCAATCTGGGAGGGAGTCGAGTATAGTGGTCAAAGCAGTGGTTGCACCCAGGTTTACTATGTACTGATCTGAAACATTTACTCAGACAGAGACAGTAGTTCAGTAAATAAGACCCCAGGTGGTCTTGTTAAGAGACCCCATTTTTATTCTCATTTCTGCCAGTGGTGACAACATACTTGTTAACAAGAACAGAGAAATATTACCAATATTCAGAGAAGAGGCGTGACTGGAATACCTGGTTACCAGCCCAGGGCACCTTCCCTCAGCCACAAGGGTATTGTGGCATGGAAAAGCTGGTCAGCTTGGTGAGGCTTGGGCAAATGTACAGGGGAGGGGGTATGTCACCAGAACAAAGCCTTGAAAGAGCCCTACTGAGAATGTGCTAATGGCTAAAATAGGTACACGGTTGTCTCAGAGGATTGTTTCCATGAGAATCCCAGGAACTTCCCAATCAAGACAGGAACTTTTCTCTACCCTGGCTCTGGATTCAAATCTGGCAGATTCAGGCTTGACATCTGAATCTGAACAGAAGACTGGTTGTACTGAGGGTGGCAGAAGGGGTCCCACCCATGCATCTCTCTCAATGCTGTCCCCACACTAGTTTTTTTCATTTTGGGAATGACAACTTCTCAATTAACATTCATCAGTCAGATGGTTGACTCACCGTTGGTAGCAACTAGAAAGCATGGAAGAATAATGTGTAAAGATATAGCCCCAATTTCATTACCTTGTCTTCTTCCTGCACTCAGAATGTAGGAAAATCTTCCTACCACTAAGCCAGGCTCTCTCCTCTACTTTGGGGGTACAGAAAGCGGCAGATGGCTTAGGTGCCCACAGACTGTCAGACTGGATTATACGAGGGGTTCAGTGCTCTGTCTCCAACAGAGACCAGAAACCCACAGTGGGAAAATACAAAATAACCAAAGGCATCAGAGAGATTGGTTTTTGCTCTGAAGCATGACAGGTTAGATTAGAAGTGGTCAAAAGTCCACAATTGTTTTGTTTTGTGGGAAATTTTGAATACGGTATTGATCCACTTCAGCATGATATTTCCAAATATCTCAAGAAAGGGAAAAATCTAGGAAAAAAAATATGTAGAAATAACTGAAATGTTTCATTTAGTAAATTTCAAAAGGAAATTCAGCCTGGAAGCTTCAGAGCTGAGCCCTGGCAAAAAGCTGAAAAACTATGGGGTCCTTTATGCTGGGATAATCTGCAGGGCAGGAACTCCCAAAGACACGGAGCAAGAAAACCCTGGCGTTCCCAAATCTGAGACAGCCTATAAGGTAATTGTTGCTATACAGTTACAAACCCAAGAGCCCTGGCTACTTACTCTCCCTACAGGCAGGCTGGATGGACACTAGGTAGGTTTCTGCTCGACTCCTGCTTGCATTTCATTGGGCATTTGTAGAAACCAGGAAATTTCGAAGGAACATTCTAGTTTCAGTGAATAAGCATTTCTGACCAGTGCTTCGTCAGAAAATTCCTGACAAGCTAGTTCCAGTCCCTTCCAACTATTTTAAAAACTCCATTCAGATTAACACGCTATGTTTATAATGTACGTAGCTGTTTTACATTTGAAGCCTACTTAATGGGAACCCAGCGGAAGCCACTGCCAATGAGTTCCACAAGTCCATTGTCCAGTATGTTAAACAACAAAGAAATAAAACAAAAACAAACCTTCCTTGGATCAGCTTTGTACTTTTTGCATTTGGACACCATGGGCTATCTCCTTTTCCCAGTATTGTAAGAGAGGGCAGAGCCTGTATCAGGGGAAGAGAGAAGCAGTGACAAAAGCAACTTTCAGCATCTCAGAGGAACCAATTTCAAAATAATCAGCTCTGAGAAGGAAAGATGATACTATACTGCCATCACTGGACTCCTAACTTCTAGAATAAGTGAATGCTATGGAAAAGAGGGAAACAGTTTGTTTATGTACCATCCACACAGATGGGAGCTTTTCCAGTTACTTACGGTAGAGAGGAATCAAGGCCAGGGTTAGGAAGGCTGAAGTAACCCAATGTCCAAATGACTTAAACCTTCAATAAGAACTAGGTGTCTATGGTCTCATCAACCGAAGAAAACGTATGTTGGTTATCTTGTAAAACTTGCCATGTGCATGCACTTATTCTGGTATGAGTGTTTTTTCTGCTTTAACTTATGTCACTTTGGAAACAGTAAGTGATACACCACCCATTTAGACATGTTCAGCAGTAACTAGAGCAGCATAACTATGCTGGCAGAGTCCAAGTCCTCTCATGGGTAAGGAAGCCTGGACTCAATCCTACAAAGGGCCATATGCTCAGGCTGGGGCCTTCCCCTGGGTTGTGTCTTATTACTTCTGAGTCCCTTAATGTTCAGCTGCATCATATCCCCTTCTGAAAGGGAGGGGATGCAGGGTAATCTAGGCCTATCTTCTTCTATGGGTTCCAGGCCAGGGACATTTGTACCAGGCAACAAATACCCCTGGTTGCTTCCCTGGGCTACCTACTTTATCAGTCTTTCTCCTCATGTTACCTCTTCCATGGCTCCTCTCAAGCTGTTGCTCTGAAGCCTCTCCAAGGCAGCCTCCAGCCTTCCCACCTACTGCTCCATTCTGCTGTTTGGTGACAAGCAGTGCAAGTTAATGAGACTCTCTGTTAATGAGATATGGGCTGCTGCTGTGTAGATCTATATACCACATCACATATTGCTTAAATCAAAATAAAACCAATACAAAGAGGTAATTTATAGAACCCTGAGACATTATTGTTTCTCTCCCATTATATTCAATGGGACTTTTCCACAATGGCCATGAATCTGATAACACATGTGTATGTATATTAAATACTGAAATCTGGTAGCAGATCTTGGCCAAATTCAAGAGGGGGGAAATGATTTGATGATCTGAGTAACTTTGAACCATCCCAGCCATAGAGGACTCAAGCAAATCTAAGAATTTGGCCTCAGATCACCACTCAAGACCAAGGAGAAAGAAGTTCATGGTGTGGTTCAGTCAGGCCCATGGGAACCCTTACCCTAACACAAATACTACGCAGTGGGTACATCTACACCTGATCTGTTACTGTACATGAATAAACCCAGAGCTTATTGCTCTGGAGTTAGTTGCTTCTGGGCGCACTGGTTGAATGTGCACCCAGGAGCAATTACATCCAGAGCAATACGCTCCAGAATGTATTCATGCATAGCATATGGAGCCAGGTCACAGCAGCCATGGCTGGCAGGCGGCTCGGGTCATCAGCCTGCCAGCCCAGGGCTGCTTCTCCCTGGCTCAGTGGGCTGCAGAGGGACTGCCTGGAGGATGGAGGAGCTTTAGCATAGGGTTAGCTAGCAGGTAGCTCCTGCACTGAAGCACCCTCATGCCCTGGCCAGCCCCTGAAGCATCTACACATGTGCTGCTGCAGTTTTTTACTTCATAGCAGGATAATACTTGCATTTACCAGTACTATCCTGCTGCAGAGTACATTTGTTTACTCCAGCCTAATAGGGGTGCATGTGTAGGCCCCGAGGTGTTTATTGCACTGATAGTTAGTCAGCTGCACAGTAAATGTCTCCTGTAGACGCACCCAGTTACTTCAATCTAAGTTACTCCAAAAGGATGCATGCTCTTGCACCTCTCTTTGAAGATTACTTTCTTCTAAGGCATCTAAAATGCTAATAACTTTTTCCTTTTTTTACTGCAGGTGGGTGGGTGGTTGCTGTGTGCTTGGTTAACGACGTATATTGGCTCATTAATTTAGGAGCTTTGGTGCTTGTGTAATGGCTGAACTGCTTGGAGGGAAACGTTTATATCCACTAGGGGGCACCAGGCAAATGTTATCCTTCCATCAGTCCCCTCAATGACAAAAACATCTTCAAGAGCTGAGTTCTAGGAATCATGTACTAAAGGAACAAGAGCAATAGTGACCATGCTGGGGGACTGTGGCTTTACAAAAAAGCCTCTGTAACCAAATCTGAAGGGAGAAGGCAGAACAGACCCCAGCCCACAAAACCAGTAAAATAAATCAACAAAGGCACCCTTATTTTAACAGTGATTTATTGTCAGTAAAAAGAGCAGGCATCTTAGAGTTCTTAGAGGATCTAATGTTGAATGTAGACCATAGCCCTGAACAGCTGTTATGGGACCTGTAGCTATTTTCTCCCTGCAACATCCAGCAGCCTGCCTCTCACTATAAACTGACATTGATGCTACAGGTCACAACCAGCCCAGAAACAGATCATTCTATATAGCATTTGTAATAAGGGTCATGGTGAGGCCGTAGGATACTGCAGGATATTCCATGGGAGCTAGGAAGTATTGTTTTGGTTTCTCCCTTGTTCATGGTCTTATGACATGGTCACAGCTTACAGGGAGGAGGTGACAACCTTTCACAACTTGTAATTTTTTTCTCTTAATCCTTAGGTGCTACTGTTTGAGTTTTTTCAACATGGCTTGAGAATAGGGGAGAAAATCCTAATGAATAACCTGACAGTGCATCATTTTCTGGGGTATGCCAAAGGTGTGTCTGCAGCTTGTATACCCTGGCTAGTTTTAAATGAGTGCTGCTTGCAGTGTGTTCCAGTAGCTAAAAGCTCAGTGAAACTGCTCAGCTTCTCCGAAACGCTTAGCAGCCTATACTGTGCTGCAAGAGCTACACTACACAAAGTGCCGCAGCTAGCTGGGGTAGGTCTTCATGACCTGCAGTATTGTCTTGACTGCAGAAAAGACCTATCCTTTGGGTGTGTAGGCCACTGCAATCCTTCAAAAAAAAACAAACAAAACCCAAAAGCCTCCAATCTCATGATGGGCTATCGGTAGCTGTTCTGAAAGGACCATTCAACATTGTCCTGTAACTGGAATTGACATTTACTGTTAAGACTTAGACAGACATCCATATTGGTGGTCAGATACCATAGTGATGAATACATAAAAAGGACTCCTGTCTCTACGCATACACGTTCAAACAATGGAGACAGGTTCCAGTGAAATAAGGCAGTGATTGGTGAAGAATTTTCTCTAGGACAAAAGAAGATGTCTAGACAAGCATGCAAGTGACAGTGATGAGGAGCAGAGAGAGAGTGGGGGCAAAGTGAAAAAGCAGATTCAGCAGTCAGTATCTTTAACTCTTGTATCAGCTGACATAGTGCAGCACCTGTCTCCTTAAGCCACTATTGCTGATGACTTAGTTGCACTATATTATTAGTTTCATAATATGTGGTGGGTGCAGAATACCAAAGAGCCCAGGATCCACAGGATGGATGAGTGGTCCTGATTCAGCTAGTATTAATGCATACACCTATGGGCTTTGCTGAACTGAAGACTATATTATTCCTATCGGTACCCAATGGTGTACTGAGTGCCTGCTGATCAGAAAGATGAGATGACCCACTGCTGCCAAGAAAGGAAAGGGCGGAGGAGGAAACAGAATAACATCAGCCAGATTAAGGCAGTTACTCAGTGATGGCTTGTGCTCAAGTGCAGAAAGCGTTGCTTTGGGAACAGCCTCCTTAGTTGACTAATTTTGCATAGGTATTGTGACAGAAGAGGGTGGAAGAAGGGACATGACAGTCAGTGAGAGGCTTGCAGATCAGCTAAGGAAGGGCATTCTGAGAGTAAAGAGGGGCACGGACAAAAGCATAAAAAACAAGGTATCAAGTCTAAGAGAGGGCTCCACTGGTTATAACCAGTAGTCTATGCTGTGCTCTAAGCAAGTTAAGGGGAGGGTCAAACACCATAAGACAAAGGAGGCTAAGTTTCCCTGCCCTTCAGCCACTGCTTGGATTTGCCACTAGACAGACCTCTTTAAAGAGAGAGATTTCCACAGCAGCACTGCACAGACCTACACCCCCAACACTCCAGAATACCACCTTGCTGTGACACCTTAACAGTGCATATACAAGGAGGTTTTGTGTTCCCCAGCTTTAAGTAGGATTCAAAGAACAATAGCATACTGATATCTAATTGAGGTAGCCAATAAGTTTTCACTGTATATTGGTTGATGACAAAAATGAAGGGAAAAGCTGAAGTAAGGAGTTAAAGAACAACAGAAAGTAGCCAAAGCTAGAGAATTCACTTAATGAAAAGTCCTGTTTTGTTTTAAAATTATATTTTCAATCTCCTCCACTTTCTCTTCTCTTCCCCTTCCCCCATCTCAAATATAGGACAGGTATGAAGAAAAGTTCAATGATCCAGGTTAACAACAACATAGCTCTGGATATTCAACAGTAAATTTTCAAAAACACTTTATACTTGTAAAAGTAAAATCAGTGCATGCACTTCTTAAGCACCAGTGCAAAAGTGACAGAATCAGCAGCATGCTGTATCTAAAAGATATGTGAATTTTACCATCCTCATCCATGTAGGAGTACTAAAGTGTATGTTTTGGCACAAGAAATGGTAATCGTACTAAAATCCCTTTAAAAAGCATGTCCCAGCTCATGTCATGTAAATGGGCAGAGGGTCAGCTATTTCTATTATTTTTCTTTTCAAGTATTCAGGAAGTTAGAATATTTGCTTTTGGCTTTAAAAATAGTTATCTTTTATCTAAAAAGTACTTAACACCAACAGAATGGCTTGTGACATTGTTAATTCTTTAGAGGAAGTTATTTTATTTTCAACTCTATAGCTTATGATATCTGAGAGTAAAACTCTTACCAAAAAATCCTACTGTTTTGACATTTCCAGCAGATTTCTATGGCCCCAGGTAACTGGACTGTTTTTCAAGTTGTGTGTTTAAATTTGTCCAATAAGATTGTGTTTCATCTTAATATTCTCATCCCCATAGCATCCCCAATTCAGGGAAACTTTTGAGCAAAAACAGAATCCAGCGTCTAAGGGCACCTATACACGTACCCGATGCCTGCTCTGACGTTCACGCATCGGAGTGGACTCGATTAATCGACTCTGCTCAATGTAATTAAAATGCTCCAGTAGCCTCTGTGTCGCATGTATTTAGCATCCGCACATTTCAAAATGGTGGCGGGGGCACTTTAACTAAAGCTCGTACAACAGGTTTTAGGTAAAGTACCCCCACCGCCATTTTGACGCGTGGGACACTGAATACGAGACACTGCAGATATTTTAATTAGAGCAGCTCCCGAGAACTGCTCCAGTTAACCCCACCCCAGAGCACGTGTAAAGGCACCATAAGTATTTTTGGACTGGTCAGCTACTCAGATGTAGTTGCACTGCTGTAAACTCTCAGTTTAGATAAACTGAGCCAATATAAAGGAGAATTTACAATAGTGTGATGTACCTCACATTCAAATAAATACCCTTGAAGTAGACAAGACCCAAGTGAAAAATGTGCTTCTTTCAAACCACAGTATTATCTAACTGGAATGCATAATAGTCATGATTACTCCTTTATTTTACTTTAATGGAAAGCATTTATTCCAGAACAGAAATGTAAAATTGTAAGAACTGCTTGTGATTGTACACAGCAGTTAAGCAATACTGATTTGTTCCTAATATTTGTTTAATAGGAATATTGGACAGCAGAAAAATTCACTGTAATGCTGCTATCTTTAGGTTTCTTTTTGCAGAGAGAGATGCCAAACTGTTTTTCTTTAAAGTGTTTTACCCACCACAGTGAGACATGAAGCAATTTGCTAACCTGAACACTGTGTCCTAATACATCAAGTTAATCCAAATACTTTGTTTTCTTAACAGTCATACCACCGCTTTGCTAGAACTTTCCTTTCACAAAGCATAGATCTGAAGATGTGTTTTATACCTGTGTATGCTCTTGCATTACATACAATTGCTCATCAAGTGCAAGAAGATGTAGGTAATGTTATATCATATATCTCACCTCATCATTGTCTAAGAGTATGTAATACACAAACTAAAGATTCCAGGCAACCATTGCTAAGTTTTAACCCTTTACATTTGCATAAGCAGACTGAGTAAAAGTGATGTAACTGTAAAAAAAAAGAAAATGTATATAGGTGCTTTATTATCATACTTGTGCCATGGTTCCCTTTGTCCAACATTTCATGCAAGCTTCAGCATCCTGGCCATTTCCATTCCTTTCACCTGTTCAGTCGCTGTGTCACCACTTCCCGATACATGATGGAGATGTATATCAGCAGCAGAAAGATGACAAAGAAATCATCCAAAAACCCCAGAATTCCAAATAGGGCTTCAGGTAGAAAATCCAGAGGTGAAGCCAGATACAGCAAAGCTCCTAGCAGACAGAGGAATATTCTGATACGAAACATCCAGAAGAGGCCTCCAACAGAAAACATCTCTCTGAAAGCATGACGCAGTAAGGTGGGCAAATCCATAATTCTTTCCATAATCTATGAGCAAACAAAATGAAAGAAAATTGATACTTTGCTTTTGTAGCATGGTGCAGTACATGAAAGTAGACACCTTCTAAAAGGGACTTCCTTAGCATAAAATTGATACCCTCTGCATATACCAACTTTGGAATCCATCAAGTCACATTACTGAACATCCTGGACCAGCCCTTGTGGTACTTGAAACTGCACCATAATTAATTTGGGAAGCACATCCCAGATATTTTGGAGGCATTTAAGGGGTACCTCCTGGTTTTCTGGGTGAATACTCTGATGTTCATTTGTGTGAAAGCAAATGCAAAAGCCACAACTGCATTAAAGTAGCTCTTAATTTATAAAGGGAAAAAAAGGTAACTTTAGGATTCAGCTGGTGGCCATTGTAACCAGAGAAACCATTCTGGAACTATTTTTTACTGAAAATAAATTACTGGCTGAGAACATGAGAACAGAATACGAGTTTCAAAGCAAAGACTACAAGCTATATTAGCTCAGTATAGTAAAGAAAAAGACTTGAAATCATCAGACTGTAGTAGTATCTATTAAAATGGTAAATAAACAATAACTAGCACAGGAAAACAAAATGTTGAGAACATTAGAAACTTAGCAAGTGGGTTGCAAGTGAAGAAAATATGAAAAAAAAAAAAAGGTCAGTATGGAAAACATCTGGGGATTTCTTGGTGACCTGATAGTCAAGGAGCAATGGATTACAATTTCTCTAAAAAGAGAACTACACTATAAAGCAGTGGCCACTATGGGTTTTCAAGGGACTTGTCACGCTTGAAGATTAGAAAACAAACTCACTGGGATTCCATTCTTTTTATCTTTTATTCCATGGTTCCATCCATACTAGTTAGCCATTGTTCAGTGGAAGCTGAACCTTTTTCTGAACCTTGTTTTGAATAATGGCTCCTTTCCCAGTACAGGTGGAACCACAAAACAGAAGTTAAAGGAGATATTGCCTAAGTCTACAAAAGCTTCTAAGACTACCCTTAGAATGGAGGGCTAGTCCTGTGGTTATAGCAACAGACTTTGTTCAATTTAAGGTCCAAAAGCTGACCTTACCTCAGACTTCCCACATGATCATGGGCAACTCGTGGGCCTTTTCCAAAGCCCACTGAAGTAAATGGGAGTCCTATAAGTAACTTTTATGGGTTTTAGATTAGGCTTTGAATTTCTGTGCCCCTTGCCACCCCCACCCCCATAAACTAAGGATAATTCTCTCTCCCCCACTCCATTCTATTTGGATTATAAACTCTTCTGAGCACTGTCTCTTACTAAAGCTCCAGTTCTACAATTAGATGCATAGACAGAATCCACTGAAATCACTAGGATTTGTCTACACACATCCAAATTGTAGAAACAGTATCTGTATATGAACAGTGCTTAGCAAAATGGGGCCCCATTGTGCTACACTCACACATGTAAACTAAGATAGGGTATAATTTTGCTGTTGCCAAATTAAGAGGATCAGCAGTGGTGGGATTTGTCAGCCACAACTGGATCTGCTTCATTGGGCAGGGGCCCGATCTTGCAGGACAATGGGAAACATGTTCCCTGCTTACAAAGACACACCAGAGATTGTCCAGAATGTATTTCTGCAGGCAGAAACAACCCAGCTTTCCCTGCTTATGCAGACATGCCCCAGAGTTTGCCTGGGGTGCATCTTTGTAACTGGGGAAAGCTGGGCAGGCACACTTCTGGGGCCTGAGGTACCTGATCCTCCACAGGAATTCCCAGGGCGCACAGGATCAGGTTCTTCAAGCAGCAGCTGTGACAGGATTAAAGCTTGGGCTTTGGAGCTGCAGGACAGGGTGAGTAATGCTGAGAACTAGACCCTGCCACTCCAAAAAAGGCAGCAGAGCCCCTGGCAGCCATTCCAGCATCCCCAATGCCTCAAATCTGAGAATCAGTTTCCTTGTTTAAAACATGCAATCCAATTTTGGTTGGCTAGTTGTTGCTGTTGGTTTTTTTTTTTTGGGGGGGGGGGGG